TCAAATCTACACACATCTGTTACTTAAGTCGAAGTATAGATACTGCAGTTTAAAAACACTCTGATAAAAGTTGAAGTATAAGTAAGTAATTGACCTCTTTCCTCAAGTAAAAGTGAAAAAGCATGTGCTCCAAAAACTACTTGAATTATAAAAGTATAAAGTAACCTTTAAAAAAACAGCCAGATGCCACTATATGAATTGAAAGCTAATTTTTTTCGACTATTTCAAAGAATTCTTTGAGATAGGGCCAAGGATGAGGGAGGTCCTATTGGTCCCCATCTCAATCTCCCGATAGATGCAGAAAAAAGCAGAGATACAAAAAGCATCTGTCAACTAGCTCCATGGGTGGCCACAGCAAGGCAGAGGAGCTCCGAGAAGACAAAGAGAGCACATCCAGTCAGTCACAGTCAGAGAAACAGGACTACACTGAAAAACAGGCAAGGATAGAGAAACACAGAGGATGGAGAGTAATTATAAAATTGCTTTTGTTTATTTCAATAAAATTAATCAACAATAGTTTCGATAAAAATAATCAGCAATAGGAAAAGGCAATTTTCATCCTAGTAAATTGCAATAGATACTGGTGACAAAGAATAACGACTAAACCATTACATACTCACTCAGTGCATGAATGTGTTGCGTCACCATAAGTTACGTAACATTTAGATAGTGAGGGCTTTTCTTCTAGAAATTCAGACTGTTACTCTGAGCCGCATTGGTCGACATTAAGGTGGAGAACAAACGAGTAACGGTTACAATTTATGAAGGAAACACAAAACTTTGTTTTATACATTTTTGGCAAGGGTGCCACCATATTTCAATACTTTAAGTGGTGATGTCACAGGGTTGGTCGATGTTTCACTTAGCAACTGAATATAAAAAAAACCCAGCTATACCTCACTACCCTAAAAAATAATGATAATTGGTTTTAAGAAAAGATAATTGGTTTTATGGAAGAAGAAGCTGAAAGGACACTGCAGCGTCTAAATCACATTGCTTTTGCCTTTGAGCTCCTTTGGCGAGTGACTTGAGACATAGTATGGAGAGAAGAGGCAGGTTTCTTTTTTTATATTTATATAATTTATATTTCTAATATGAGTACTGATAATAGTAAGACACAATGTAGTGTATCCACTTAGTTTGGTTAACCGTTTGATTTCCACTTCAACAGGCCCAGCGGGCATAAAGCTCCACTAAAATAAACTTAGAAAACTTGATGCTTGATGAAACTCAGCTGTAATAAATGATCTTGAAGGTATTTCGTCTTGCTTGAGGCTCCAAGTTATCTAAGGTGTTTTTTTCTTCTTCTGGCATTTCAAGGATATTTACACCAACTTAATAACTTCTTATTTAGTTTCAAGATAGCAAGTACTTCCCTTTCGCCGACAAAGGCCACAAGAGTTCAAGATAAATTAAGTTTCTTGATGTGATAACATAAAAGTGACTTTGTGCAAGCCATGTGTCCCAACATTAATTCATATCTGAGGAAAACTCTGGGTTATAATTAAAATTTTAAAAAAGGTGTACAAGAAAATTAAAATCACAGTTTTTCAACATCTACAACTACAATGAGGGGGTTAGAATCTGAAAGGCCTACAATAAAATAAAACCTAAATAAAAACACAGGAATGTATTGAATCACATTATTGCATTTCTGCTGGGTGGTGTACTTACTAAATATATTATATATAATTTATAATATTTTCTTCTTAGCTGATAAAGTGAGCTTTAAGCTTTTTATAAATACAGGAAGTTTCTGCACCGATAAAGAGCTTTTATCGTCCAACTGATTTCTTTCTCCATTCTCCACCACCCTGATTGTTACCCCCACAATAGCTCTCTGGGTTATATCTGATAAGGGATCCTGCTGATCAATTCTCTTCAAGTGAAAAAATATCAATGGTCACAAAAAATATGATCTATAAACTCTTTGTAGATTTCACATCTTTTAACAAAAGAATATAGAAAAAATATTTGTAACAAAACAAGTTTTCATCACTGAAGTGCATGTTGGTAGACAGATTTGAACCGTATAAACAATTTTTTTTAAACAGAAGTTAACTCATATTTACAAACCTTTTTTCACCAAAGTTAACTTTTTATAATCGTATTTTGTCACAATTTATGTTTAGATATAGCAATTATTATAGGTTCACAAAGTAAAACTGGAGAAGACAAGTATATAGAACGTAAAACATAATGTAATCTTTAAATTAACAAAGTCACTTGGCTTCAAAATAATTAATTAGATCAAGTAATTTATTATCTTGTTCTCTAACATTCACTTTATATAACATTCTCAAAGCTTTTTTGTATAAGAGATGTATATTGTTGGTTTTCACATGTACAACCTCTATACAATAACTTATACATGGAACTAATGAATATAATATATATATATATTTTTTTAACCTCAACGAATATTTCATTATTTTTGTTACCTATATATTAAATGTTAAACTTCCATTTTGCTTTATTATAAAAAAAAATAAACTAGAAAAAGTATAGAAATAACTTTGCCCAATATTTACAATGCTTAAAGTGCAAAATGTTTATACAGCTGTTTAAAAAAAATCTGTTAACTAATGTCCCAAAATAGACACAAACATTGGCTGATATCTATTATAAATCATTAAAGTGTAATATTTGGTGTAGATATTATGAGATGATGAAGCAATAATACTAATACTAAAAAAGCACAAGGTTTGTACTACACTGCTTTCTAATTCAGTTTTTGTGCAATTTGTGTTTCAGTCCAGCTGTGTATCAGTTCCTCTACCGCTCTGAGGTTTTTGTACGACGTTATATCACTGTGTGAACGGGATGTTCTCATCGTGTTGACAGTAATAAACTCCTGTATCTTCAGCTTGAACTCTGCTGATGGTCAGAGTAAAATAAATATCATATCCACTTCCACTGAACCGATCAGAAACTCCAGTCGCTCGTGTGGAAACAGAATAAATTAGGAGCTTAGGAGCTTCTCCAGGTTTCTGAAGGTACCAGTGCAAATCATTATCAACAGCCGCACTGGCTTTACATTTGATGGAGACAGTCTGTCCTGGAACGACAGCCTGAGATTTTGGAGTCTGAATCAGGGTGATTTCTGCTGAGGAAACTAAAAACATGATGAAAAATAGTTAGTGAGATGAATCCCAATCAAAGAAATATGGTCAGTATCTACATGTAAAAGGATGGTTCCCCTCCTTCTTTTTTAATGTTATGAACCTGTTTAGATACTAAAAACAAGCTTTAAGCTAAGAGTCTCACCCTGAACCAGGAGCTCCAGGATGGTCAGCAGTAGAGTCACTAGCATCATCATCGTGCTGCTGGTGGTTCAGTGTCTCTGAAGGACCTGGACAGCCTCTGATCAACACTGACCTCTTAACAGCTGGGAGCAGAGAGGCAGGACACATATGCAAACACACAGAGTCAGTCTCATAAAGACTATGACATGATGTTCTACTTTAATGGATTTTCTGCAAATTTTTTCATTCTATAATGGACTGACAAAATGTTTTTGTACCGAAATGCTAAAAGCCCCAAATTGCTTTTAGTGCAAGGTGAGGTTGACTAATAAATTTGCTTAAATTACATTGCACTGTTATATAAAAAAACATGCATAAATGTATAAAGGAAAAGTTGTTTTCACAAAAATGACAAAGAATATAGTTAATTAAATAATTCCTTCTGCTAAATTTGATTATAGAAACACTACAAGCAACATTTTGCTGTTGTTAAACTTCCTGCAAGGTATTAAAAACTATGATAAACAATGTCAGTGGCTGAAAAAATATGAATAAAAAATAGTTTAAAATCTCTCTTTGATTCTGTCAGAAAATTGAACTGCTCTGAAAATACTCCAAGCTAGAAGTTTACAGACTTTACCGTAGAGACTCAATTTCTTCCTTAAGTGAGACTATCGGGGAGGCAAGGTGTAAATATTTAGCTACACTTATACCATCTAACAAGAGAAATTCTCAGTGCTGTTCAACTATTTTCACACTATTGTGCCCCCTGTTGCTGCGTCCCTTCCTTGTGTAGAATATTCAAAAGAACTTCCTTCCCAAACTTGATCCACTTTTATTCCTCTACTTTTTGAAGACATCTCAGGACTAAATGAAATTTCCAAACCTTTTTGGTGAATGCAAGTCATTCACCTATTAACTCACACACTGATGTTGCTAAGCTACGTTGTAGCCACAGGTAACCCGGGGCTCGCTGACAGAAACAAGGGTACTACACAGGCGCCTGTGTAAACA